CCCCACCCCTTAGACATGCCAAGACTAATCTGCCAGTAGATCAAACACTGCAGACTTACGTGGAGGGTTGGTATAAATTCAGAGTCAGAGGTTGCCTTTTCTCGCAGAATAACTCGTCTGTGTAACTTATCGTGCACGGAGCATATACACTTCCATCATGTCCAGGGTCACCTGTGTCGCTCTCCTGCTCGTCGTTCTGATTGCCAGCTTCTACCACAGCACAGGTGAGAGTTTGTATTTTAATTGTTTGTGCTACTTATGATGTGACATCCGAGTAAATCACTGACTCTGCTTGTGGAATATACACGGGAAGTGAATTTGTATTTGATGGGAAATGTTGATGGGTGATCTATTATTGTTAAATGATTTCTTGATATTTATCTTTTTCCACTGTGTACAGCTTCACATGCAAAAATCCGTGCGACCAAAGTGCACATCCGGAAGTGTGGGTGCAGAGGTGAGGATCTTTCATATATTATGGTTAAAAATTAGCAATGGTGTAAATCAGCATGAATATAGGAAAACAGCCTGATCATCTGGGCTGTTCTGACACTGTACTGGGTCTCCTGTGTTCTGCCATTGTACACAATACTGTATTAAAAGTGGTCATGATCAGAGTTTTCATAGAAAGAATTTCACTTTCAACCTCTCTTCTTATTGCAGTTTTGCGCAGTGGAATGATAAGGTGTCGCTCCCCACTGCTTCCCGAGTATGTCAAGTATGAGGATCTGCTTAAATGCTTCTGCCACAAATCAAACCAACACAGTGAGTGAACTGACATTGTATGTGGGTGTGAGATAGAGAGCTTGTCTTTTTTCTCTGCTAATATTCAGTAAAGATGTTTAATTTTTTGCCACTTTTGTTTTTTTCCCCCTTCAGAGTTTCCAGAGTTTAAGGCAGCATGCAGGGTGCATCTTCCTAGTCAAGGAAGAGGAACTCCGCTTTAAATGACTGGAATTATTAATATTATGCAGAAAGACCAGAAGGTCCTTGAACACATCACACAGGATCACATCACTGCTCATCATCACACGATGCTAACCATTTCATCTCACTATGTCAACAGTCATTAAATGACATGAATGTAAATCTCATCATGCTTGTAATATATTAATATATTATGTCTGTGACTTTTTATACATTGTAAATACATTTTTAAACTATTACATGGCTTTTGTTTTGCTTTATTGTTTGTGTACATTTGAATGGAGGTGAAGTGGAAAAATATGCTGATTCACATTCTTGGCGAGAGTTAGATGAGAAGACCCAGTGCCTGAAATGGGCCGGTACTCACCAGTACTGAGAGCTGATTTTTGTCCACGAGTACCCTTACTTCTTATTGAGTACCTCCACCTGAGTGAGCATGGCTATATCCACCTGTATTCTTTCAGAGGGGTACACAATAAAAGTTGTGAAATAATTGTCAGCAATGTTGGTGAGCCACTCCTAAACCACAAGTTCTCAACTTAGGGGGTTAGAACCCCTAAAGGGGTTGCAAGATAATTTCTGGGGGGTGGACAAATGGTTGTGGAGAATAAAATAAAATAACATATTGTGGCAAGCGGCAGTGTTGAATTAGGGTACTGTCACCTTTTCAGGTTGAATTTATGCACTGAGAAGACTGATACCAAACTCATGTCTGTAGCGGGAATATGAAGCAGCAACCAGCAGCCGTTAGCTTAACTTTGCAAAAAGACTGGAACCAGGGGAAGACAGCGAGACCGGCGGTGTGTACAACAATGAGCAGTTTTATGGGGGTTATATGCCGGACTACTACTTCTTAAGCTAACAGTTTTCCCGGTTCCTGTCTTTATACCTTGCTGCTAGCTCCAGCTACATATTTACTGCGCAGATGTGAGAGTGGTATCAATCTTCTCATCTATTTTCCTACAATATTGAAATATTTTCTTTCTTTACTGGAGTGGTTGTGAAACAAATCACAACAGCAAAACATTCATTGTAATTTCAGTCATATTTATAATATTACTCTCATACCTTTTTATTTGCAGTCAAGTAACTAAATAAGTATTTTTACTATATCTTATAAATGGTAAAATATGTACAGTATAGGAATTACATTTTTTAGGTTTTACTGTGAATGTCAGGTTCCACATTTTTGGCTGGACGTGGTACTTTCCGACCTACCATGAATGTCACCTTCATTAATCCTCTGTATAATCATCTGAGTCAGCTGAAGCCCTTATGGGAGAAGAGGCAGGTTTTGCCTGATAGGGGTTGGATTTACCCCTCGTGGCCTTTCCCTTTTCACTCACTTCTATCAGGACAATCAGAAATCAGATATCACAGTGGAGGCATTTGTTATGTTGCCTGGAGTCTCTGGAGATGTGGCGCAATTTCATATGGTGAGACTGAGGCTGCGTGTGTAAATCCTCTCATTTGATTCGATGTGTTTTTGTGCTCTTTCAAAAACACTTGGTTGTACTTCTCATTATTACTCTCAATGAGACGATACACTATGAAAGTGCTCTGTGATGACATTTTGTGATTTCTCTTGCTTCTTACTCAACTGTTACAGACCAGGAGTGTCTGGTGGTGTAAACTCTTCTTTTCCATGGGGGTGATAACTGATAAAGTGGCTTTGCTCTTACCACTGAAGGTCAACAAACATAAGGCCACTGAAAAGTGGATTGAAATTCTTTTAGATACCAACTAATCTCTCTCTGAGGTCTCTTAATAATCTGTCCAAACACCCCAGGTCAGCAGAGTTAACTATTATGTGAGCCTGGTGCTGTGTTTACCCTTCTTATCTGTTTCATATTTACACCAAAACACTACAGTCATCCAGAGAGCACACACACAAAGCGAGAAGACAGACAGAAAGAAAAAGCAGCAGACAAAACTGTGTCCAGTACTTGTTTTTCCTGGGATTTACTATCTTATATAGGTAAGTCATCTATTCTTGATCAAAACAAACCTAGTTACATATTTTCAGTTACACTTTCACTCTACCTAGAAAGGACGTGGTAAATCATTCTCCAGCGGACTGCAGCAGGCTGGCTCTGAGCCATTCATGTACCAGAATTAGAGAAAGCTCTGGTGGAATCTTTCCCTCCTCTGAGTTTGAGGAGGAGAGCTAGAGAGTAACTCAGGCAGGCGGCGTTCAATCTAGTAGCTTTTAGTGAGTGAGGGCCGTGGACCTTTGTCCTCAGCGAACACCTCACTGGTTTGTCGAGCTTATCTTCTGACTGAGATAGTGGTATCCTGCGGATGTCTGCTTTGGTTATAGCTCAGAATTATGGGTCACTGATACAGAGTTTGTTGATTTGTATAATTTTTTGTCTAATGCAGAGGACACTCACACATTGACAGCAGATGTGTGAGTGTCCTCTGCATGCAAATTTGTACAACACATAGTGACTCATCCTCCTCCGATACCCACATTAGTTGTGTTTACTACTAATTCATTTTGCCAGATAAGTTTTGGAGGAAACATGAGTGCTTCCTGGATTACTGGAAATTTCAATATCAGGAAGTACTGATTAGAAAATCACCAATTACATCAAACAATCTCATTGGCAGATTATAACTAATATATTCCCTTATATACTGTACTTAGAGCGAGGTATTTAGAATTTATTTGAGTATATCAATTTTATAATAGTAAAAAACTTTATTTAACTTTACTTAACTATTGTTTAGCTTTCCTAACATGGAACGGAGCTCATCCAAGAGAAACAAAACATTGACACAGGGATAAAAGTAATGATAACAATTAGTTAATAATGGTAAATAGATATATAAATAAAAAGTGTAAGAAATAACAAATGTGTCTACTTTGCTACATTTCAGTACACTCATTACTTTACAAATTAATATTTTACATACAAAGCATATCACCAGCTGGTTTTAAATTAAATTTTAAAAATTAAAAATTAGTGCAAAGTACAATAGTTAAAAGTAGCTCATTCTAGGCCAGATGCCAAATTAAAATGCTACTTACACATGAATGTAGTCCAGTAATAATAAACCAATACATAATAACTCAACACTGACACAAAGCGTAATGCATACATTTTACTGAAAATACTTTTATGGAAGGAACATTTTGAATGCAGGACTTTTATATGTAATGAGTATTTTTTGCTATTGCACTTAGGTAAAGGATCCTGAATGCTTCTTCCATCACTGGACTCGTCTTTCCTTCACCATAACCAAGTACTCGCAATTGTCTAAAGATAACCATAAAAATATTAGTCATGTTTTAGCGTTGCCAGGAGAAGCTACTGCAGGAAAATAAATGTAACGCATTGGCAGTGATGTGTTCGTTTTGAACTTTTTGCATTGGCAGTGAACGCTGAACAACAATCTGAATGCCATTATGTTTCATATAAAGTGTAATTGCTAATATACACCAGTATAGTATATTGGCAGGGTTGCATAGTAAAAAAAAAAAGACATTTCTGGAGAATTTCAGCCCAACTAAATACATGATGGGAAGTATTCAAACAGGCTAACAATGTTATTTAAGTAAATTATTAATTGTAAATTTAGTCAATTCATCATTTGGAACTCCAAATGTGACAGTTGGCCAATTTACAAAGATCTAACATAGAAGAGTTCATTTAATTAACTTGATTAGAAGCTTCTACAGTGTATAAGCATAGTGGAACGAGCACCCATTGGTGACTGAGGCCCAGCTGTTCACAAGTTAGAATAGAAAAACAGCTGTTTATGATAAGCTTTGTTCATTATTTGAGCATACAGTATAGAGCATCAAAACCAGAATGTAACTGTGACCATATGTGTTGCTATATTTGAACTGTGTCCCCTCTCTTTTATGGACATGGATGGCCAGCTCAGCTATGTCTCAACAGGTGGTCCAGGTCCAGCCGGAGAGCAGGGTTCAGGAGGCAGGTCAATGGAGTACTGGCCTGTGTGAGTGCTACAAAGACGTGGGAGACTGTAAGTGAACATGAATCGTGCAGCATACAGTCTGATACAAAACATAATTCACTTTACAGTTTACCTCTGCTGAACGCATACAAAAAGCATTTGCTGAAATGTTGAAATATAAATAATGAACCTTTAATATACACGTTCATGTTTTTGCGTACTGTGAGTTGATCTACTAATCTCTAATCACTCTCTCTCTCTCTCTCTCTCTCTCTGTGTGTGTGTGTGTGCGAAGGCTGCTTTGCCCTGTGCTGCCTCCCAGTGTTTACCTGCAAGGTGACCAGTGCAGTGGGCGCGTGTCCCTGCCTGCCTCTGCTGGACTGTATCAGCTGTGTACCACCGGCATCCCTTGCCATGAGGGCGTCTGTCAGGCAACGATACGGCATACAGGTAAACAACACAAATAAAAGTCTCATTATACTTCTGCATGGCTTCATACAACGTTGGATAATTGGGAAAGAAAATGGTGATTAATAAAAGGAAAATCCAACATTAAGGGTTTAGTAGGTGTTCCACCACAAGCCTCCAGAACAGTTTCAGAACTTACAGAAAAGTTTCTGAAAATAAGAAAATATTCCATCAATTGATGTATTCATGATGTTGGTGGAAAGGTGGGCAGCACCCGTACAACTTTAAATCCTGAATCGGTCACCCCCCAATTGGATTGATTTCTCCCACGTTTGATCCGATTTCACGGCCTCTGGCGAAGATCTATGATGAACTGTGGAAAGCTTTAGTGTTATACATGTTGTGGATAGCTGCTGTCTTGAGTGAGACTGTGGTGTGATAAAATAAAACTGAACTTTGTCCTTTGAAACAGAATGGGCAATGTTGTCATCATCATCTCAGCCATCTGGGCTTCCATATTCTCTTTTTCTTCTTGCTTTCTGCTCAAAGTAGAATTCCACAAAGACTGTCAGGAAAACTGTCACTGCACTCAACAGACCCAATGGTGTAATATCATTTTGACAGGTAGTAAGTACTACACTGCAATTAGTTTACAGCTTTGATAGCTAACTAACATTTGATAGCTACATTGACAGCTTTGGCCATGTTGCTTAATTCCTCTTTTTCAGTGTTGTGACAGAACAATTTAACTGCCTGTGTACACATCTCTCACAAGAAGTTTTCTTTTTGCAGGGAGAATGTGAGAGTTAAATTTGTAAAATGATTTCAGTCAAGTGTGTGAGTGGCCCCTGTAGTTGTGATGTGATAAACCCTGGTCTGCACAAAGCAGCTGATTGCTTTCACTCGCACCACACTGTGTCCCCAGCTCAATTACACAGAGCTGCTGGGGCTTTGAATAATTATGATTACTGCTGAGGAGATGGAGACGTTTGAGTGATGAAACACAATAACAGGACGCAGGGGAAATACTTGCAACATCAAGGAGATGTGCCTGATGACATTGGTTATTGCTTTAGCAATGCAAACAACGATTTGAGTCTACGTAGTGACATCAGATAAAGCTCAGATGTACACTGAGGATGCTTTGAAATCAGGACACATTTATTAAATTAATAAATCTGCACTAGAGCCATAAATAACTTAATGAATAAACAACAAACTGTTAGTGCCTTTAAGATACAGCAAGCTGCTCAGGCTGCCCACCCACTGCTTCACTGCTGTGCTGTTTGTCCACACTGAGTGCTCATACACCTGCCTGCATGTCTACAGATCTCAACAGACATCAGGTCTCCGTCACTGATCACTTAAATGCTAGAACAGATGTTTCTCATGCAAACAGCACATACCAGGACCAAGTTGTGAAGTTTGATGTTGGATAAGCCGGACGTTTCTGGGACAGTGAAGAGAAGGAGAGATAAGGCAGGAGGTGGGAGTGGTTGGAGGCCAGAAGCTGGAGCACTGCCATTGGAGAGGAGGAGGTGGTTGGTAATGTTGGCTTCTCTGGAGGTGGAGTGGGCCGTGGATCGCTGTCAATACTGCCGAGCATGAGCTAGGAAGGTGCCAGGAGTTCTTATGAAAACAAGTCCCAGCATGTAGGCTGTTTGTAAAGCAAGGCAATTACTCTCTCATGGGTGGATGGAGACAATGCTGTAACAGTGTGTATCTTGAGGATAAAACTGTAGACTTCAGCCATTTAGATATGCACTATGGAAAATGGATCATGTTTCTATGCAAATACTTGCTTACATATCCTATTTCTGTGTGTACAGTACCTCTACCTTTTCTTGTCTTTATAAAACTTTGACTTTAGTATTTTTAGCCATCGCGGTGTGGCTCTAGGGATGGCAGTGTTGGTTGGTCAGTCTACCACTTTGGTCCAGACTGAAATATCTCAACAACTTTCTGATAGATTGCCATAAAATCTTCTACACACATTTATGGTCCCTAGAGAATGAATCCTGATGACTTAAGTGATGCCCTGACTTTTTCTCAAGTGCTACCACGAGGTTGACATTTGTAGTTTTGAATGAAACGTCTCGATAACTATTGGATGGAAAACCAGGATGCATTTTAAACTTTGGTGATCAACTCAACTTTTCATCCAGCATCACCACCAGGTTTAGCCACTACTTTGGTTTATGTCCAAATACCTGCAACACTTATGACATTCCCATCAGCTACAGCTGGAGTTTGTGGTGAGTGCTAGCAGCATATGTTAGCATGCATACATGCTAAACTAAGATGGTGAACATGGTGAACACAATTACATTATACCTGCTTAACATCAGCATGCACCTGTGAATATGTTAGCATGCTGACGTTAGCGTAGCTGACCATGGCTCTAATCTAGTTATCTTCAGTGCATGTACGAATGAATATCACACTGAATCACTGACTGACTCAGTGGCTTTTGGCAGCAGGGCTCCTCACTGGTGACTGAGAGTGCCACTGTCAGCTCAGCTGTGATTCGCAGTATATTGCTTGCTTGTTAAAAGACTGTGAAAGTCACAAAAACAAACATAATCTGATAACCCTTTTGTAAATAAGTGGCGGATGACTTGTTGACGTGCTTACAGGCTAACGTGACAGCGACTAGACTGATGGCAGACTACTACTGAACTGAAGACAGTATCAGTCCTTAATAACTTGGCTGTTTGAACAGTGGTGCATTCAATGTGTCTTTGAACAGTGATGCGATCTCTTTGCTCAGTTTAGCTTGAACTACCTGTGACTACAAATCATGGATGTATAACAGGACCTGGATATGGCTCCGGCGTTCAGCCTTGCTTCCAATTTTGCACAGTGGCCACTGATGGTATTACAGCAAAAATGTCCCTGTGGCCCAAAAAGCATTTTCCCTGTAGGCCACCATTATGAAAGAGACGCCTGTAAAACTGCTGAATACATATAGTCATGCCTGTCATGATTTTGTTTTGCAGTTCTGCCATTCCATCAGACTGTTTGATGTTTTTTCCTGTGCTGTGAGGATAATGCTGTCTTTGCCTGAATCCTAGCAATATATTTTTAAAATTTTCCCTGAAAAATTATTAAGTCTGTGACATCATCACAATGTAAGGTCTATGGAGAGTGGGAATTCTTATTAGACTGATAGGCGCCATCTTTGTCTGGTATACATATATTAGAGATATATTAGAGCACAGAGTTGCTAGCATGGCTTTAGTCTTTTTTGGTCTCATTTAATAACTTACTTGCTTCAGAACTTTTGTTTATTCTATTATGCCCTAAAGTGTATTTATGCTTTTTCTTTACTTTGTACATTGTAACAAAGTACTTTTATTGTGCAGGCTGCATGTATCTAGTAAACCGACAAGTCATTCCAACATATTGATCTAAACTTATTGTTGATGATGCATTTTTATCTGTGTATGTTTATTGTGGTATGACTGTATGCACATGCAAACTATCCCAGAGTTGCATGTTGCATTCAGATCCTCAGACATGTAATGATGTTTGGGGGCGGAGTGACAATTTTAGTTGTTAATGTCACCCTCCCACATTGAATTCACAGGGGAGGCAGCGCAGCAGAGAAAGTGTGGTACTAAGCAGATCCCAGGTCTGTTGCTTACACAAGACAAGTGTGTAAATCTCAACATGTTTGTTGTTTTTTGCTCTTTTGAGGCTGCCTACATCACAGTTGTCACAATCAAAAATTGCATTCATACCATGCCCCTTTTGGGAGAGAATATTTTGTTATATAACAGCATTAAATTCTCAGCGAGATTGCATGATTGTGGTCCACACACAGTTGATATTGCTGAATGCATTGGTCATGTTTAATGACTATCCTGCTGGTAAAGTTCACAAATGCATTATGACTGAGCCAAAACGGAGGCAGATTTTGTTTTGAGAATTCATGCTCAGGCTGCACATGGAACGACCAGGATCTGCCCTCTTACTGTGTCTCTCAGACTTTATTGATTTATCAAATCTCACCCACCAACATTTCCATCTTGACATTACCGACAGGCTCTTTATCCTGGTTGCTGTTGCTAAGAGCAAAGACTTGGCTGCAACAAGCTCACTGTCCTCAGAGGGAGGATGCGGTATTTACTGAAACAGAAGAGCACGATTATTACTGTTAGACTGACAAATACGCTGCCATCTATGAACTTCAAGCTGTATGCTACTGTGCATTACTACTTTTTTGCTCCTTCATTATTGGTCTGTTTACCTAATTTGGACTTTTGTAACACATGTTTGTCTACTTTACATTTAATAAAAATGAATGTGGTAAAACAAGTTTTATTGTAGATTATACTATAAAAGAATTACTAAAGCTGTGAGTATAAGCTCATACCAGAGCACAACATGCAGGAGACACTGCATAGTATATATCAGTAAAAATGTCTTTTGCACCTAAATGCAAATGTTCACCTTTTGTTCGAGCCTCCCACCTGCATTCAGACCTCTCTCTGTGTGTCTTACAGGGGAGTGTGTGGAGTGACTGCTTGTACGGATGCTGCTGCTATCCGCTATCTTGGCTCCAGATCTCCAGGGAGCTGAAGAGAAGAGCAGCATCTCACGCCTCCTCCTCCTCCTCATCAGCCAGATACACCGCTCTGACCTCCCTGCAGGGGGCGCACTTGGTCTAGACACACGCTGCGCTCCTCTCTCCTGGCCTCTCCTGCCGCCTGCCCTCCAGAGTGCAGGAGTAGATTTAATCACACTTCCTCTTTTCTGCAGCCACTCCCTGTTACCTCAGAGATTTCAGCGGGGACACAATGCGTCCCACAGAGAGGAAAGTTCAGTTTGAACCAAGATGAAATGAAAGAAGTATGATAAAACTAATTTAAATACTTGAGCAGGGTTATTTTGAGTAACTAATAAGCATCTTATATTATATTCTTTCACTGGGGGAAAATAACTCAGTACTGGACCTGAGTACACTTTTGAGGTACTTCTACTTCACTTGGGTATTTCAATCTTATTTATTACTTATTTATTATTGCATTTATTTAATTCTATGTCACTAACTTTTTTTCACCTCTACATGTATCTGACATATGAGAAGTTTTATAAATAATCTGTTGCTACAGATTAAATTAAACAGTGATTCCCTTTTTCCCTGTGACTCCTTACAATAAATCAGTAGTGGGGCCATTTATCATGTTTAAGATGTCTATGAGTTGTCAGCAGTTCTACAAACGAATTCCCCTCTAATAATGTTGATATTTAAATCACTGTTTGAGGTCCTAAAGGTAAAAAGAAATCCCAATATTTCACAAAAAAAGAAGAAAAAAGCCTGAAAAATGAAAACAGAGTTGTATAGCAGAACTCTTTCCTTCTTTTCTCTCCTATGAATCATCTCATGGCCCCTCAGATTTATCTTGATCTATTGAGAGAAATGGAATATAATATCCATAAGTGTATAATCAGCTGAAAATAAGAATCATTGTGCTTTCAATGAGCTGTTTTTATCTACAGAGAGAGCGGGACTTCTTCTATGGAGGCCGCCATGTCTCTACAGTAGCCCAGAAAACCAATTGTGGGACGAGGAATCAGCTAAACTTGTGTTCTCTCCAAGTGTGATGTCAGTAAATAAGAGTAATGTTAAGATTACTCAGTATGCAGCTCGCAGTAATTCTCTGACTGAAAGTATTCAAGTCAAGCCATAGTATAAATAGTATTTATATATAGTATTTGCGTAGGGCCCCAGGGAGGTATTGTGGGTAATCTGTAGATAGAAATGGCTCATTCTAAGGTAACAAGAACATAATGATTCCAATATTCATGTGATTACACACTAATAAAAACATATTATATTCCATTTATGCCAGTGGAGCCTCCTAAATGTTACACATTAGGGTCATAAACAGTACATAAAGACTGTAAAGCCTAAATTTGAAATTATATAAATGAAGTTTGATCTTGCCACACGTTTACGAAGACAAATTCCTGTTTGCAATTTCCTAAATATGATTAACCCATTTGTTTGTAACTTGCTAAGTTAACTAGCTGGAGGTTTTGAGAAGTCAATTCTGGAATCTTATAGCCTCTAATGTGGCATTATGACAGATGGACATGGATTAATGGATGTGTTAATAGTCAGAAGAAAGCAGCATTTAAAAACAATGCCAAACATTAATAATGACAAGGATTTATTTATTTATTCCATAACAGAATAATTATAACAAGAATTTAGACATTATATATGGAAAAATGCTTCTTTCACTAAGCTGACTCTGTATATTTTGTATTCAAAGTCAAAAATCAAATTGTAAATTGAACTGGTGGCACAGCTTGTTGAAACTATGTAAAATGCCTGAATGAATCTTCATGTTTCAATTTATATAATGTGTGACTTTACTTTTTATCTTTAGAACTCCTCTTCTTAGAAAAAAAGAGGGAAGGAAGTAACTTGATTGATAATTGTAAAGCACATTTAATTTTAAGCAAAAGGGATACACACACTATGTATAGCAACTGATTTTTGCTAGTAAACAGGTTACATGGGATATTACAAGTAAAATTATACACTACCAAAAAGCTTGGCTCTCCAGGACGCTTTCATATTTTGTAAAACTGACTGTTTCTGTTCGTTGAACTGACAAAGCAAGTGTTTTTAAAGTTTGCTGAGGAGATGTGAATTCAAGGAAACGGCAAAATCAACAGCTTGTTGCAACATTCAAACAAAGGTGTAGAGCCACATGTCACTGTGGCACAAAGCACTATACAGGACATTCTCTTTTGTTCTTATCACATACCGCTGTCTACGGACAGTCGCACACTTTCAGTATGAGGTAATTCGCATATTGCAGGCATTTTGAAAAAGGATGAGTGATGATAAGATATCCTGATGTCTGACTATTGAAGGTGTTGCCACTAGTCAGACTGGACAGACTGGTCATTGCCATGCATTCCTTGCTGTCTGTCAGGTTCACCACTCTGCAGCAGCTCTATAAGATGCCACGCTGCCCGGCAAACCCATCACTTAACTCAACCCTGCTCCTTCATCCTCGCAGGACAGTAAGGTAAGACCATCCACTGTTAGATGCTCAGGGAGGAATACTGCTTTGTATTTTTATGAAAGGGGAAATACTAATAATTTGCCACTGGCTTGTTCTGAGCACAGTCTTTCAGTGTTTTAACTTCAGGTGAAAAATTGTGTGACGCTGTATCTGTTCAGGAACTTCTGCAACTTGTGGTTTTCTAAAACCTTTCAAAAACAGAAGTAGTTCAGCTCCAACATGCAGGCCTGTCTGAGATAAGGTGCTTGCTCAACAATGTGTAACTCTGATAACCCTAGACACTTCAGTATACTTATAAGTGTGCACTTCTCTTTCCTGGAACTAAAACCTGAAAAAAAACGTACATTTTTGTCATTACCAGTATCTATAATCGGGCCAAATATATTGCAATTTAAAGACCACAAACTGATATAAAATCTAAAATTGACACAGTACAGCGAGAGTAATTCTTTTATAGAAACTGAAAATGAACTGCAGACACACACGCTACACTGATATGAAATCTTAAAATGGATGTAACAGCCCTTTAATCACCCACTAGTGTGGTGAATAGCTTCTCTAAGTCTATTCATGCATCACAGTACAGTAAACTGATCACGGAAATGTGACATGCATGTCAGACAATGAGGAGAAAAGCTGGATCATGTGAATGGTCCATTAGCTATTTTTCCATATCCAAGGAGATTATATTCCTGTCATGGGGGTAAAATATTTTACTAATGTATTCTCCTTGATATCCTGTCAGTGTACTGTACTGCCACTTAGCACAGTACTCTGACATAAGTGTTTTTGCAAGTAAAGCCTTTGCCAGACAGTCTGGTCTCGACAGTGACTGTAATCTGTGTTTTTGGTCAGAGGCTGAAGTCATGTCGGAAAAGATGGTTGCGACCCAGCCCCGGCCCTTCATCATGACCACTGTGTCCAATGAATGGACTTCTGGCATCTGCGATTGCTTCCAAGACCTGCCCCAGTGTAAGTGCACCAAGTACACAGATTTTACACTGAGTGATAAGATACATTTTTAGAACACAAGTTGATACAAGAACTGAAATCCCCCTCTCGTGCAGAAGGTTGGAAACTTGCTGATCATTCAGACTGATCTGGGTTTAGGAATGCAGGCAGATGGCAGATTGATTGGAGAGGAGTGGGTGTACATTGTAACGCAATAAGTTATTTTGGCTCGAAGAAACCTTGAATACTGAAGTATTCTTCGTTATTGCATTTCTAATAGAAGTAGTTGCTATTGGGCGTCCCAATGGCGGGTGGTGTGTTCTGTCATTCATTTGTTTTTTAGTTACCCAGCCAATGTGTTTTTCTGCGTATTTTTGTTACCCAATGCGTTTTATTTCTTTTTAGTTATTCCACTGGTACATCATTTGTCAGGTCCTGGGTATACTGGGTCTTAAATGTGCTTTATAAATAAAATGTACTTACTTTACTTACTTACTTACATTGAATATTTTAAGTCAAAGTAACTTATCTGGTTTTATAGTGTGAAGTATTTGAGCATTGCTGTGTATTGCCATTCTTGAGGCTTCCCATGATCACGCAAACCAGCAGCAACCTCAGATAAAACGAAACAATCTCAAAACGGAAGCTCCTGAAACATTCTGACTTGTTTACTATTTTTAATGTGTGTATGCCTTTAAGAGGCTTTAAAGTTAACCTCAGCGACTGAAGAAACCTTTAAGATGAACGCATTCCTAATGTTGAACATAAATGCAAATTTTCTTTGCAGGTTGCTTTGCCTTTTGGTGTTTTCCCTGCTTCGCCTGTAAGACTTCACACGAGGCCGGAGAGTGTCTATGTTTACCTCTGCTGGACTCTTTTGGAGTCATCCCTCCTATAACCACGGCCCTCAGGGTGTCAGTACGCCAACGATATGGCATTGAGGTAAAGATGTTATCCTAATCCCCTATTCAAAAAAGCCGTAAAGCCACCATTGCTCTGACTAAAATGCACCTCAGCTGCGTCAATGCTTCCAAGTATACCAGCATAAAAGTCACTGTTGCCCTCACTGTTTATCAGATCCAGGATCAGTATTAAACCTGTTTATCCCTTTGTCACAGTCTGTATGAACGTTCCTTGAGAACATCCAGCAATTCATGCCGTATGGTCATTAAAGAGTTTCAGTACGCTGTGTTCTTTTGTTCCAGCCGACTTGTTTAGTCAGACTTTGACAATGATTAATGACTGTAGCCAAAAAGCTGTGTTATAGAACTGGTAGCTCCACCTTTATTCTACTATATGCAAGTATTTGTCCCCCATGAACTATTTCATCCCATGTCTGTTGTATTTGTGCATATTTTATACCCCATATCCTCACTGCGTCTGTCTTCACAGGGTACAATCTGCAGGGACTGCGTGTACGCCTTCTTCTGTGGGCCCTGCTCCTGGTGCCAAATATCAAGAGAAATCAAAACGAGGACAAATCCCATGGCCTTCGTCAGTAACACGGTCTGATGAGAACAAAGATTACATTTACAATCCCGTCATCATTATTAACATGAACGTCATCACCGTCACCGACAGTTGGGCAACATCAGTGCTTTTCACGCTGTTTGGGATAAGAGAGGGCTACTACGGCTGATTTGAGATCTGTTTCAAGCACGTCTGCCTCTGAGGAATGTCACTAATGTTGCGTCACTTAATGACAGAAGAAAGAGATAAGCAGACACTTGGCCTCTGTGACTTCCTGTGAACTATCAGTGACAGCTAGTGGTGTACTGATAATTATTCTGGGTAAACTCTAACCTTTCGCTCTCTCTCTTCTCCTGCAACTTCAAAGATGCTTCTGTACCTTTCTATTTATTGGTCCCCAGTAGCGGTTCTTTTCCTTTAGAAGTATGTATATGTTTCTGCATTGGCTCATTTTCACTTGTTATATGGAAAGCTAGAGAAGGCCGCTGTACTGAAAACATAGCTACTCAGTCCACCACTTTGGTCCAGACTTAGATATCTCATATTGCATGTAAATTTGGTGTAGATATTAATGATCCCAGAGGATGAATTCTAGTTACATTAGTGAACCTTTGAATTGTCATCTATAGCGCCACCAGCAGGTTGTCATTTTCACAAAAATGTCTGACACCAGAAGAAGTTTGAGAACCCCTGGCCTGGCTGTAAACTCTTTGTTTTGTTGTTACTTTGACTCAACACTTATTTCCCTACAGACTTTTCATTATAAGGGTGTGCAGCTCTGTTTTTATTGCTGGAACTTTTTCGTGTCATTCATATTCAAGTATTTTGCATTTAAAACCTGTTGAACAGGATAATAAAACTCTTATACCTCACAGCCTGTCAGAAGTTCAGTGCAAAACTGTACATCCTTGCAATCTTATGCAAACCACACATGCAAATCTGCCAAATTTAAATCATGCCCTGAAGGATTAAATGCCAGCTTTTGCTCCATGCGATCAAACCAGTGTCCACGGAGAGAGACTCCAACATCAGGTCAGGTGAGTGTTGTTCGAATTAGGGGTTAAAAAGTAAGTAAAAAGTAACAGGCTAGGTGAGGAGGATGGATTTTACAGCATGCATGCAAGGAAGTTCAGCAGCTGTTTTGATTCACAGTAAACAGATGTCACCAGGTGACAGAACACACTAGGGGTCTGGGTAAATGGTGTGAACGCTGTCCTGAAATTTAAATGCACCATATCATAATGTAGAACAATTGAAGGAAGGAAAGGTTCTGGACCAGCAGGCGTTCCGGGAGCCTTGTTCAGATATTTGGGCTTGAGTTCAACTTTGTAAAGGTGCAGTGAATGTAGAAAGACTCCCATGAGAAAAAAAACAGCTATAAATGTTTTCATTTTCAGGCCTTCCTGATTTGAGGGATCACCATGGCAACCAACGTGATCATCAACAACAACCAGCCCCAGGCTCCGACTCTGGTCGCTGTCCAGTCCAACCAGTGGAGCACTGGCATCTGTGGCTGCTTCGACGATTTAAACGTCTGTAAGTCTCTTTCTGTGCAGAGCGGCAGGTGTTTTCCTTATACCTCCTGTGTGTTTGTCTTCCACTGGCGGATGCAAATGCTGTCAAAGTGACATTTGAGCCTGGACTGAGTCTTAAGTTTACTTGAACAGAGATTGTAGTCAAGACCACTGCAGTCAAGTTTGAGACCGAGCAGAAAATCAATCAAACTTGCCCGTTCCTAAGCTCTGTGTTCCAACAGTTGAGCAAGCCTCGGTGGCAAAAGATAAAAGTGACATATCTTAAGTCTAATGTGTAACAGGAATATGGGTATTCACAGAAATGGAATGTAATATGCATTAGTATGTTTTCATTAGTGTATAATCACCTGAATCTAGGCTCATTCTCCAGGTTTTTGTTATGTTAGAATAAGCCTTTTATAGCTACAGACCAAGGTTATTATAGTTAACTAAAACTAAACTAAAAACTAAAACTAGGTGTGAAAAAACATTTTAGTTAACTGAAATAAAAATAAAAACTAGACTTTAGTAAAAAAGAGAAACTAACTGAAACTACATTGTATGCTTACACAACTAACTAAAATAAAATAAAAAATATACAGGAACTGTCTTTAGTTTTAGTTAATTTAGTTAATTTGGTCAAATTAGTCACCTCAACAAGCATGAAGAAGCATTGGTACATATGTTTATCGAGTTTGTATTGTAATGTCTATATTGACAAATACTCTCCATTTTAAACTATGATAAGCAAACCCACTCTAGAAACTAACTGAAACTAAACTGAATTGAAAACAGAAATTAAAAACAAAACCTAATGAAAATACAAAACTATAATAACTCTGCTATGGACACAGCGGGTCGCCTTCCATGTCGGCTGCCATGGTTCTACAGCAGCTCAGAAGGAACAAACCAAACATACATACAAACACATCATGACAAGAATTTTTCCTTTAAGTCTCAATTTAGAAAGTTCTAATCTGAAATCTGAAAAAAAAAACAAAGCAGCCAGGGATATTTTGAACTTTCCCACGATTAAGGACCTCTCCAGATAAGAACTGTTATCACTGCAACCCCACCTCAACCTTGTTCCAGGTTGTTTTGCCTACTGGTGCTTTCCTTGCTTTGCCTGCAACACCGCCTCTGAGTTTGGAGAGTGTTTCTGTCTCCCCCTGCTGGATCTGGTGTGGACCGCCGTCCAGATGATGTTTGTCCCATCATGCACTCCGCCTGTGTCCATGTCAATGAGGGTTGCCGTGCGTACCCGCTACGGAATCCAGGTGAGTTTAGAAAAAGAGGAAAAAGCCAGAGAGATGCCTCGCTCCTTTTTTGTTCTTCATGGCTGCTACTTTCTTTCTGTTTTGTGTGTGTCTCTGCTCAGGGTGATATGACATCTGACTGCATGTACGCCTCCTTCTGCAACGTCTGCTCCTGGTGCCAGATGGCAAGAGAGATGAAAAGACGCAAACAGCCGCCCACCGTTTTCACCGCCCAGCCAATGTACATGGGTCCCCAGCAATATATGATGACCACCCAGCCGGGGGTCATCACCTCTCAGCCAATGATTTCAGCTGCTCCTCTGTCTTGAACCCTAGGGTCATGTGACTCCTGGTTCTCTCAAAATCCTCCTTTCTTTTGGGCCTCTGAGTTTCACCAGTTATCTATCTAATCAATCTAGCTGAGAATTCTCAGAGTGAGCCGTATTTGGGTCTACTTTTAGAGTTAGACGGTATAAGAATTTTATCAAGTTTCCAAATCCAGGAATATCATCTCATCTCCTCCAGGATATAAGGCATCTACAGAGCTGTCCTAACCTGTTAGGAAGTGGCATAAGATAAGGCAAACACGCTCACACATTCCAGTAGGTGGGTATATATAGACTGATTGAAAGATATGGATGGATTTAAAACTTATAGGACTCCATAGACACAATTTAATGGGCATAATATACAACCACTGCAGCATTAGGCCCCCTTACAACTTTTATAGAATCTTTTGAAGTAAGTTTTTTTATTTCCCTGGATTTGTCAGAGTCAAAAACGTCTTGAACAGATAAGGACAGACTGTGTCAACTGATGTAAACTATTTTTAAAATGGGTGTCAGTAGCCTAGTAGTGTCAGTCATAAATACATGATGCAATTTCTGTAATTAATTTCACTCAACCTGCATCAAATCTTCTCAGAGCCTTTGGAATGTATTTGAGAGATGTCATGATTCATTTGATTTGATGTTGCTTTTTTTCTCAAATGAAATTTGAGTTTGTGTATGAACATTCAGAAATAGCTTTTGTCCTGCTCTGAGGTAGGACTATTTTTTATCTTTTATTCAGAATGTTAGGAATGACGCTAGTCTGGATAAATAGGAATCCCTCAGTTAGCTCTTTAACTGGCTACTGTTTGGCCAGATACCTATACCTATTTTTAGTTCGTTCTTAACACAACTGTTAAGTGTGAGTGAAAACTAAAAGTTAAAATCTTATACTTTAACTCATATTTGCAAACAAAAAAATAAATGCTATTTATCTGATTTATTTTGACTCAAGAAATGTTCTTATGTTGGTTAGGAGTAGTCTATAGGGTCCTACACGGCTGCAGAAAGGACACAGAGGCAAGTACTAATCATCTGGAATTGTAATTTCATATAATAGCTTCGTTTTACCAGTTGTAGCTGCTGCTTTCTTATAGTAAGTTATAAAATGCACTTTTGAAAGGATAGTAGAACACTTTCTTTGCATTCCACTGGGGATATTTTTAATTTCCTTTTATATTTCCTTTCACCTACCTCCTCCAGCAGCAGACTTCCCTCCCTGCTCCAGATTTCACCCAATTCCCTCTAATTCTGGCCTTGTTAATGTGGTTAGTAATACTTAACGGCGTCAGTGTAATCATAGAGAGTATTTATTTTATTTTTTTTACAGAATGAAGTGAGTACTTGCCATAGTTTGGCTGTTCCTGCTCTGAGCTCACGTGATTGATCACATGATCACTTAAACCCTGCTCTTCAAGGTTTCTACTACACTTAACAGTAAGCAGAAGCAACATGCATGTTAAAGCTAGGGTAGGTCATGCATTTTAAATACATATTCCCTTTACATCCTGATAGCATTCAGTAAATTAAAAAAAAATAAACAAACAGGCCTGTAATAAGCCTACCTGCCTGTCTACCTGCCCACACTCTGCCTGTGCACACACATTGAGCATGACTGGAGTCTTCTACAAGGCTAGGCCGATATTGCCGAAGCTAGGTAATTGGTCACACAAGAACGGCAGAGAAAGTGCAGCAACAAATTTCCAGTGAGCAACAGAAATCAATCATATGTACCTTTACTTCTAACTTAATCCTACTCAGTTCTTTTCAGATATGTCACCTTGGTAAGCATGTATATTTATGTTACTTGTAAACACTCGAGCGACAGGCTGCAGTCATCATCTCTGCTGTTACCTCGCTGGCTGTTGTTCCTTGGCTTAGGCTTATAAAACTCCACAGAGGGAGAGGAGAGGAGGGGAAGGCTGTGGTTCACTGATATGACTGTTGAACAGCGGTTCATGCAGTTATTGTAATCACCAGCGCTCATTTTATTTTGCCTCCACTGTGTGACCTTGCTGCTTCCTCCTTCCCTCGTTCCCTGCCACTCCCTTCTCACACGCTCTGACTGTGTCCTAGTTTGGAGCAGTTTTGCCCAGCTCTCCCCTGAAGTTTCCTCGTCCATTAAACTGTGAAGTCTGTGCAATGAGCTTGCCTGTGAGCATGGGATGAACGGATGAGTAATCTTTAATTTATTCATTAAGATAGATTGAATGGTGCAAAAACAGCCATTCAGCACTCTCTTAAGTCCACCTGATAACTTATCTTACTTATCTTGTTCTAAAGCTCTGAAATGAGTGGATATGTGAAGGGAATGACAAAAACAACTGAAAGGACTTGATCCAATCCATATTTAACCCATATTAATGATTCATATATAGTATGTTTAGCAAAACCTTTTTTTGATTTTGTTCTGTTAGAGGTGTAAACACAAAATTTGCTGTGGAAGATGTCATGGTATATGGCTACACATGACAAAAATGTCATTTAATATATCATACCATAGTTAGTAGAAGTAGATTTTTTTTAAATGATTCATTTATTTTTATATCTATATTTTGGGCTCTTTATTGCCTTTAATTGATAGAGACAGCCAAGGTATACAGGAAATGGGGGCAGAGAGAGAGGGGATGACACGCAGCAAAGGGCTGCAGGTCGGACTCGAACCCTGGGCACTGGCAGCAAGGACTCAGCCTTGGTACATGGGTCACCAGCTCTATCAACTGGGCTAACCGGCCGCCCTTAAATGATTCATTTAAAACATTAAATACCAGCTTTAGACTGGATCAAAGCACATATTATTGAAGCTGAAGTTGTAACTCAAGAAAAAGCAACAGATTGCTTTTTTTCCTAATTAATTTTTATTGTTACAGCCCAGAATGTGTGTTTATCAAAAAATTATGAATATCTGAAATTCATAAACAACAAAAATAATTTAAAAGCAACCCCTAATGACTGAAAAACAACGAAGAAAAAAAAACGTGCATTTATACACTGACTCTTGCTCTTTATTACAATACCTCTGTGAGTTACCTCTAGTCCATATACTGGACTTCGCCCCGGAAGAACAGGGCCTGTGTGTGTGTAAAGGTAAAGCCGTGTGGAAACACATATCACATAGTATCCCGGCTCACTCAGGACCTGGAGCTCAAGCCAAACCTCAGCATTTTGCTACAACAAGAACAAGGTGAGGCATTTTCTTCTATGTCACTGTCTACAGATATAACAGCACTTTATTAATGAGGTAAAGCTGAAGAAAACTGCATCTCTAGGTGAAAAAAATAAGAAATAGTTTGTGAAATATTTTGCTTTGATTTGATTTTGATTGATTTTGATTGACCTACGCTGCATATGAGCATGTACATAGCCATATGAAACAATTTGCATGTAGCAGTAGTAGTAGCACATCACGTGGTCAGTGGCATGGATATAGTAGCAGGGAAACTCACAGGTTAAGACTCACTAGAAGCAAACTTTGCTTTTCTCTGTGGGCATGACACACTCATAAGTGCTCAATTCTGATTTATTGCTCAGATCAGATTTTTTGTTTGGCTGTTCACACTATTTAAATAAAAAAAAATGCTTGGCCCAGTGTGAACAGGTTAACAGTCCTGAAGTGACCCAGATGATGAATGGCGTTCTAGAGTGACATAACAATCTCATAAATTCTGATATGACCGTTCACAGTGAGGTCACCTTGCAAAAAATCAGACCTGTACTGGTTTAGACCACATATGAAAGTGGCCCAGTCAATTCCATCAAGTTTGTAGAGTGAAAAAAACAAATATGAGTCACATATGAGCATAATACAAAACTCTATCTACTTGGAGAACAAATTCCACAAGTACCTGTACAATGAAAAATATGCCTCTTTATTAATAAACAAAAAGGAAACTGGTATTAAGGGGTTTAAATAGTCAATAAACAAAATAAAGCTTGTGGGCAGCAGGTAATCCTTAGGCATGCAAAACCTTTACACACATTGTACTAATATCTGCCCTGATGCAGGTCAAACTAGGTTTCAGTTTCAAAACGCTCAAAATCACTTTCAGTCAGAAAGTGGGGTGTGCAGGAGGGGAATGCACCAAGCTGCTCTCAGTCATTGTTTATGAGTCAGTCTCCACACCTTGTGCAACAGTTGGATCTGAATCTTCAATCAACTTGATATTTCAGCTAAAATGAAATTGGATTTAACACTTAAACACTGAATCATCTGTATTTTATTCACACTCTTCACACAGTTATAACCTTTGACACAGTCTCAAAAAAAACACCAAGTTTTTTAGCATATTGTGCCAAGCTGTACTTTTTGTTTGTAATCCCGGCAGTGGGAGACATACAAAAAAGGGATTTTAGAAACTATAATATTGATGATCCACAGCAAGTAGCCTGAAGACTAAACCTCCTGACCCGCCACAGTATTTCTTATTTTTCAGTAAAGCACTGCAGTTTAAAACTCTTTTTTTTTTCATCATTGGGCAAATTCCATAATAACCTTTCTGTGTAGCGTAATTCAAGTGACCTTAGAGAAAACTAGACTTCTGCACCTCCTCTTGACTCTGTTTTCAATCTTTACAACATCTAGCCGGTGACGGGAGACTCTGGCCAATCACAGGTCCTTTCAGAGAGAATCTTTTCCTATTTCTTCTGTTGTCATTCAAACTTGTAGTGGGAGGGGCTTAGCGGAGTGATGGGAGGCAGAAGAGACGCAGTAGATTTTGCATAGGTTTGCACAGGCAGTTTTGCCTAGTGCAGCTTTAACTCTTTTCATCTTTTGACACTCTCCCTTTCTAAAGTTGCTGGTCAGTCCCTGTTCCACAATGATTTGCAAAGCAATTAACTCACAGTCCACAGAAAATTATTGAGTAGTAAACTACATATTCAATTATATCTACACAGTTAAGCTTATAATTTCTGCCAGTGTACTGTGTGACTATGCCACAAATTAGACTTATATTCAAAATCAGGTGTAGACCAATGAGACAAATGAGCTACAGTATACATTAAAGCTACCAGGTTTAGTCTAATAATTTCTTTCTGTTGTTTCTCACAGAAAATGTCCAGCATGATCCCTGTATTCCTGACAGGGCTCTGCTTCCTGTTACTCAGGCCCACTTCTTGCAGTGGAAGCAAGATTCTGGTAGTGCCTGTTGATGGCAGCCACTGGATCAACATGGAGGTGATCCTCCGAGAGCTGCACTCCAGAGGCCACACCCTCACTGTGCTGCGCTCCGCCAAGAGCTGGTACATCCCCAGTAACTCCACGTTTTATACTTCTATCAATGTGCCCATGCTGGAGGATGAGGCAGATATGAACTACTACAATAAAATGCTCATAGATGTTATGGAATGCCGCAGGTGGCCGAATTTTATACGCACCTTCTGCCAGCAGTACTTGATCACATCCATGTTGGGAATGGGCCATGAGATCCTTGCCAGAGCTGCTGCTACAATGATAGATGATCCTGTTTTTGTGAAGAAGCTGCAAGATACCAAGTTTGACTTAATGTTAACAGACCCTGCTCTGACTTTAGGGATTCTTCTGGGTAGTTACCTCAAGCTGCCGATAGTTTTCAATGTGCGCTGGATTAATAATGGGGAGGGACATTTAACTATAGCTCCCTCTCCAGTCTCCTATGTCCCCGTGTCAGGAAGTGAACTCCATGATAAAATGGATTTTCTGGAAAGGACCAAGAATATGCTACATTATTTCTATAATGCTGCTGAACAGCACTTTATCATTAACCCTGCTTACTCAGATCTGCTCCAGCGGCACTTCCCTCCTGGTACTGACTTGCTGTCTTTGGAGCTTGCAGCTGATATCTGGCTGGTGAGGACGAATTTTATCTTTGAGTTTCCTCGGCCCACCATGCCCAACGTAGTCTACATAGGGGGTTTCCAGTGCAAAAAGGCCCGTCCCCTCTCTGCTGAGCTGGAGACCTTCATGCAGAGCTCTGGGGAGCACGGGGTGGTGGTGATGTCTCTGGGGACGCTGGTGTCAGCCCTGCCTTATGAGGTCACAGATGCCATCGCTGCTGCTTTTGCTCAGCTACCTCAGAAGGTGGTGTGGAGATTTGTGGGTGAAAAGCCTCCATCCCTGGGGAACAACACCCTGCTGGTGAAATGGCTGCCTCAAAATGACCTCCTGGGTCACCCCAAGACTCGAGCATTTGTGGCCCACGGAGGCACCAATGGCATGTATGAGGCTATTTACCATGGCGTTCCCGTTCTGGGCCTGCCCCTCCTCTTTGACCAGTTTGACAACGTACTCCGGCTGAAGGTGCGTGGAGCAGCTCGGGTGGTGGAGGCCAAATCACTCACGAAAGAGAAGTTCCTGGAGGCTCTGAAGGACATCCTGGAGACTCCCTCATACCGTAACAACATACAGCATCTTTCACAGCTACAACGTGACCAGCCAATGTCTCCAATAGACACCGCCATCTTCTGGACTGAGTACGTCATCAGGAACAAAGGAGCAGCACATCTGCAGTCAGCCGGTTTTAGCCTGTCTTGGTACTCCTATTTCTGTCTGGATGTGGCTGTTTTCATCATGGCCCTCATTGGAGCCTTTGTCTGGGCTTCAGTCTTAGTCTGTAAGATTCTTTGCTGCCGAAGGTCCAGGAGAAAGACGAAAGCAGAGTAACTGATTCGAAAATAACAAATGCTTAGTCAGCGGCGTAACGATCAAAGCGGGACTTCCTGTCATAATCAGATGTAACATGATGTAATGTCAGTGGCGAATTGAGGAAGTGACTATCAATAACAACGAATTGCAATGCACTGTTTACACCTAAATGAAATGAGAAAACTAAAACTGCTCTAGAATTGGAGTCATAATAGCAAGGCTAAAACAGTGATAGACTAGGCAGCTTGACTAGAGGACCATAAGAGTAAACGCACCTTCACACATATGAAACCATGATCCTGTGGGTAATGATGATCAGTGACGGCGCACCACATTGACATTACTGACAAAATGTTTCATGTCTTTGCATTTGCATTACAAACACAAAACACAAGTGTGTGGATTGATTATTGTACAACATACATTTACATACTGTGGAGTTATGAGCCAATAAAATTTATGTAAACGTGTTTGATGTTTTATGTTTTGTATTGTTATTGAATGTGAATGACATCAAGTGTGAGACGGAGACTCTATGGAGTGACCTTAGCTCACTGACTAAGATAAATACCTACAGCGACAACATGTAAATTCATTTGCCGCATATGATGTAGGTTTAGCTCTCATCAATCAAGAATATAGCAGCGGTGCAGATAGGAGTGGTCAATTCAATCCAAAGGGCCCTGGAATGCTGCTGCAACTGCATTCCTTGCATATACAATAGTTACGTCGCTGAGCTTAGTGACTGCCCGCTGTTTTTCTGAGGGGAAACACTCAAGTTAAATAAGTAGAGTTTAACAGCTACATTTTCAGTTTAGCAATATTTCTTCCTCATATTCGAACCAAAATAAAGATCTTAATCAGTGTGTAAATTGTTGTGAAATGTGTGTTTTACATGCAGACAATCTTGTTATAGAAATATATTTGTCAGAGATGTAGGAGATTCATATTCATATTGTCAGTTTTGGGTAATACAGTCACTTGTCTAATATAGTCCCCCCGTGTTTTAATAGCATACAGTTATCCTCAAACCTCAATCATATTTTGATCTATTGAGTATTCATAGTGATATAAAACAAAGCTTTCCTAAACTAGTTTCCATACTTGTTGTTTTACATAGATTTAAAAAAAACTACTTTATGGGTAAAGTCCATAACTTGCTACCACAGTGTGTTATCAGAGCGCTCTGACCTGAGAGTAAACTGGCAGTAGGTGGCACAACATGCCTACCAAACAGTGGTTGACCTAAAACTGAAATAAAACAAAGGATTTATCTGCGTGACAGTAGCAACACAAGTATTTCATCACATCGGTGGAGTCAAAGGACTCACAGACACACAGAAACAGATCCTTATCATTTGTTTCTCTCACTTTCTGTATGACACAAATGCATGAAGAGGAACATGCTCAGAGCTGAAGACACAATTCTGCAGGGCTCTCAAATGCTGACAATTTTAATGTGGTCATACTTTCGGAGTAGTTGTACTTATACTTTTTCATACATACAGTGCATCATGTGCATGTTCTATGAATGTGTACAAGCATTATATGAAATGTCTTATCTTGAGATCACTCCAGATTTGCAAACCAGAAAAAAATGTTCAAGCATGGTGTACTTTGTAGCTGCTTAATTTGAAAAAGAACCTTAGGCCAGGTGACGCAGAGAGCTCAAGCAATAAGAAGAGAAACTACCCACTACTACTACTTTCGCCATATTATTGTAAAATGTTTTTACAGTTTGGGAATTTTATCTCACATGCACAGATTTAGAAAAAAACACAACAAAAAAGAAAACTAACATTTTTGTCCAGTGATTGGGCAATGTATGCTGGTGATTCAAAGGAAAGATATGAGCAAGTGCTGATGAGGTGTTATGGAAAATAGGTTGCATAATAATAATGTAGCATGCAATTCACACTTTATTTGACAGACCCACTCACATGAGCTATAAGATGTTTATGTGTTATGGTGATGATGATAATTTGCTTTACAACTTCATGCCTTTTTGTCAAACAGCTGTGCGAAGGACTACAAAAGTAGATATTAGAATATAGAAAATTATAGTATTGTAGTCCCTCTTTAGTATTTTTAGCTTTATAAATGATAATACTTATCTTCTGTTCTCATGCAGCAAATAGTACAACTACAAAGTGGGCCACCAGTAGGGTGCACATTTGAGTGGCAGAAGGATGTCAAAACGAGGTGGCAACTTCTCAGTCTGCAGCTTCCTGTGTGATTT